AAAATCCCACTCTAGCGGACAAAAACAGTGCCTTTTATATGGACGCAAACGTCCATATAAACTTCTTATCTGGTGCGCGTCTTTTATTTTGACAGGGAATGCGCACATGCGGACCACTTATGTGCACCCGTGCAAATAACATAGGCCTAATGTTCTGCCGGGTGTGTTGTTGGTTTTCTCTCGATTTCTGAGTCGACAAGCGCCTTTGTTACTGGGACCAGTCATTTTAAGAAAGGCCCCCATTAGAGCCCATGAGAAATGCAAGAAATGCATTATTGCTCAGTCTGCAATATCTTTCCCAGAACAAACACCAATTGCAAATAACATACTAAAAATAAACCTGAAAAATCTGTTTAGAACAGCTACTATGTTGCAAAGAGTGAACTACCTCTGGCAAAATTTAGCAGTCTTTGCAAACTTCAAAAAGCAAATGGCCTCGATCTTGGTTCCACTTGCCTCTTACCCGTGACTTCAGTGGAAATTTCATATTCAGGATCTGACACAGACTGATTCATGTCCTACACAGTTCTTACAAGTTCATAGAAATTTCTGTTCAATTAGAACCAAATATTTGAGTTGATGATTGTAATTTTTATACAATGTTGTAATTTGTGTTTCAATAATTTTTGATTAATGTTTTGTTTCCATTACAATATTATACTTTAATGTATAATATTGTAATGGAAACAAAACAGGAAACAAAACATCAATCAAAAAATTGCTCTCTTTTTTATTTGGGCTACTTAAATTTATTTTGGGCTACCAAAAACTGAAGCGTCCCTGCCCGAAGGGCTACCAGGGATTTTGAAATTTTGCGAGCCCTGCTGCATGTCTTAGTCAGCATTGCAGTCTCAGTTTCAACATCCTCTTGTCTGTGCATTGTGTTGAGTTTACTTCCCATATCTCATTGTTCATGATTTGCTCCCACAGTGTTTCACTCGTGTCTCCACTTCCACAATTCACCGCCCTGTGTCTACATTGTCTCAGTCTGTCCTTTGTCAGAGCGTACTGTTCAGTTCCCTGGTGTTATTCTGGTTCGTGGTGTTCTCCCCTAGTGTAGCAACTTTCTAATGAGTTTGATAGTTTTCATTTGTTTTTCAGTTTAATTTGTATGTGTTTATCTCTTATGTGGTTATTATATCAGGTCAATAAAGGCCTTGCCCTTAGTTAACCTTTCACCTGCCTCTGGTCTGCATCTTGGGACCTCACATTGTATCGTGACAGCCTTTTATTGGGTTGTAAATTCTGTTTAACTGTTACATTTACCTTTTGCTAATGTCACAAAGTTTGAGTGAAGATGATGAGAAGGAGCGAGACGGGCAACAGTGGATAGTCAAAATCAACGAATAATAAAATCAACAATAATTTATTAACTATTTTTTCTCCATGTAAAATTTACAGATGTAACATTTTTTTTAACATGTGTCAAGCTTTTTTTGTACTGAGAGTCAAACACACTGAAGCCCACTGAACAGTCTATATAAATTTTGAAGCTAGTTGTTTCTGGAGCTGGTAAATCATGAGTGAAAAAAATGTTTATCTCTGTCTCCCTCTACTGTTGTGATGGTATAACAATGGTATAAATATTTAATATAAATATTTAGAGTACAAAAACACAGGTCTTTCCAAATGAGCTGCTCATTGATTTCATTTTTGACATTACAGTGTTTTTAATCATATAACTGTAAACAACCTCAGTCAAAAACACAAAAGTAAACTCTTTTCTTGTAACTGTCAGGGGTCATCTATGACCACCCTGGAGTGCTATTACTAGTGTGGCCTCTTTGTTCCTGGGGTTGCTGACCTCCGCCGACACACTCACCTGCAGCTGTTGATGAGACCCTATGGGATTTAAGGCCTGGTTGGAGTTCTGTCCCTTGCTGGAGCATTGACCCACCTGTACAACCCTAGACCAGCGCCTGTGTTTTCTGGACCCGACCCGAATTAGTGTGAGTCAGTGTGCTTACGGTATTGGAGTGAGCAGATAGAAGCGAAAAAGAGTCCCCTCCTTGGAACCTTGGACTCCTTTTTCCCATTACTGTATATATGTACATTATTTCACTGATGTGTAAATAAACCCCTGTTTAACTGCAATGTTTGAGTCCTGCTTGTGAGTCCAGCCTCAGCATTCTTGACAGTATTCACTTGCCTTTATAAAGTCATAATTAAAAAAAAACAACAAAAAAAAAACCAACCTTAAACGCAACAATAAAATAAACTCAGGTACGGTAATGTTCAGGTCGACAGGAGTGAGCGAATGTGGATGGAGAGGTTGCACTTCAGGATGGATGCCAGAAGAAGACAGATCATTTGTTATCAGTAGCGTTTTTTAGATACGGGCGACATGGGTAGTTGCCCAGGGTGGCACTGTCATGCCGGGGGCAACATTATGGCATCTGCAAAAAAAAAAAAGTTGCTCGCACCCATGCTGCCCCGACATTATGCCAGCGTATTTCTGGGATTGCATGTGCACCAGTCGGTTTTCTATTGCCCATTTGCGGGGAGTAAAGGCGCCTGGTGCTTGCCAAACACAGCGAGGAGAGGGGTGGGGCGGGGCAGCGGGGGATTCTCTGTCCACCTCAGTAGATGCCACTGGAGTGGCATCTATTAACCAGCTCGCAAAATAAAACAAAATAAAAACCAATAAACTGTCAACGTTAATCATCACAAAAAAGGCGATTAAAATTTTTAATGCAATTTATCCATCTGGAGTGCAGAATGACTCAAAATCCCTGAAATGTCTCTGTCAACACATTTCGGGCAGTTTGTCCAAAGATTGTCCATTCTGCGCTCCAGATGGGTTGATTGCTTTAAAAATTTCAATCGCAATAATCGTGATTAACAAAACTACTGATGGTATTACTGATGGAAGGTGCACAAGAAAAGCACAAAGCCATCAGGTCCTCAGTTTAGAAAAAGAAGAGAAAAGAGGAGAAATGAGCAAAAGATACAGATAAGCAGATGTGTCTTTGGATAATGGGAGGTATTATGTATCCTGAAACAAGATAACATTCATTAGTAGAATGGAAAGTCTGTCCTAAAAGACAAGAATAAAAAAAATGTCAGTGGCCTTTAAAACAAGTATGTTTTGGAGATTGTCTCATTGCTGCCTCTCTAGTGAACCTGTTGCTAATTTCATTAACACTAAAGCATCTCAAACTGATTAACAACCTCCTCTGATACATAACTGACCAGATCATTATCCCAGAAGTTTTACTGACTTGGTGCTATACTTAAAACGTGTTCCTTTAATTTTTTGAGCAGTGTATGATCAATTTAAAGCCACTGAAAGTTGGAGTTGAAGACAGGAATTTATTATTCTTGATGAAAATAAAATCAAAATTGATTAGTTATCCACAGAAACACACAGACACACTCAAACACATATTAACATGACAAAGTATTGAAAGAAATCTGGAAACATCTTAGTTCGATCTCCCTCTGCCTTAGTATCCTGAGTTACTTATACTCTTCCACTTGCAGTAACTTATCCCTGACCTAAAGTGCGCACTCCACCCTTTTCTAGCTGAGGACCATGGCCTCAGATTTGGAGGTGCTTATTCTCATTCCTGCTGCTTCACATCTGGCTGTCAATTGTGTGAGCTGGACGCCACCACCTGATGAAGCCAACAGAACCACATCATCCTAAAAAGCAGGGATTAAATTCTAAGACCACCTAAGTGGAAGCCTTCCTCGAACTGGCTATACTTAGAAATTCTGTTCATCAAAATTATAGGCAGAATTTCAGCTCTGGAGGTTGTTCCTCCCAATCACACCCCTGAACTGAACACAAGAGCATCTTTTTACCAGTGTGTAATTGGAAGGTATTTATATTTGTTCAAAGAAAATTAATAAAATCAGTGAACAGATGCTGTTCAGAAAAAATGTATATCACCGATGATCAAATTTGTTCCTTTGATGGTCATATAAACAGGCATCTATCCTCACATGATTTTCAAGAACACTGCAGGTAAAATCAGGCTGCAGACTGTTCTAAAAAACATTTTCCTGAAGTTTTTATCTACTTCACTTAAATGTAATCAAATATTCAGGATAAGCATGGTCATCATGGAAGACAACAAACATGGTGGGATTGGTCAGGTTGTCCACAACACTGTCGTACAGGTCAGTGGAGGCAGTGCCTTTTGCTGGTGGTTCAATCATGCCTTGTTGTCCAAGAGTGAAGTCACCAGTCAGAACTCGGCAGACGTACATAAACTTTTCCCCGTTCTGATTTGGCTTGGAGTAGGTGTCATTGGCAGAATAACTAGCATTGACAGCAAAGTATGTGCCATCACCATAAAATGCAGCTGAAAATGAAGAACAGCAGAAAGTCAATGTCATGGTCCTGGGTCGTGCGACCCAGTGTTTTGTGTTTAGTCTATTTTGATGTTTATTGATTGTTTAGGCTCATTAAGTTAGTCCAGCCATCTGTATATACCACCCTTGCATTACGTCTCCCTTGCCCTTCGTGTGTTTATGTCTGTGTGTCTTGTACTGTCAAGTTCATGCTGTCAGTTATGTCACCTCCCCCGTACTACGTCTCCCCGGTTCATGTCTCATGTTTCCTGTTTTACTTTGAAGGCCTGCATTCACTGTCAGTGTATTCAGTTTCACTCCTCCTGTCCTGTCGTTAAGTTCATGTGTGTCAGCTGCGTTCCCATGTGTGGCCACTTCCCCTGATCATTCCTCATGTGTATTTAGTCTCTGTGTTTCATGTAGTCTGCGTCGCGTCATCTGTGTTCCCACCCTCCATGTTTCCATGCCCGGTCTGTTGTATTCATAGCCTTACCTTAGTTCATTCCCAGTTTAGGTTTCTGTTTAGTTATTGCTTTTGAGCTGCCCTTATTCTTGTTTGTTTCTCTTGCGTTACCAGCCACAATAAAAGGCTCGCTTTTGTTTAAAGTTTACTCCCGTGACACTTGTGTCTGCACCTGAGTCCTCCACGCACTCTCCACACGGTCTGTCACAGCGGACCGTGACAGTCAATGAAACAAATTCTGTAACACTTTCTGTTATTCATAGTAGTCACAGCACTCTGAAATCAAATACTAAAACCCCAATTCCAAAAATACTGGGACAATAAAAAAATGTAAATAAAACAAAATAGAGTGATTTGCAAATCTCATAAACTCATATTCTATTCACAATACAACATGATTTAGAAAATGTACAAATCGTTTAAATTGAGAATAGCAATGAAAGTAACAACTGAAATCCCATTGACATTCACTACTCTCTCCCCACTCACGGCAGTCTACCACTTCATCCAACTAACTCCAGAATCCCTCTCTCTCTTCTGACATTTGAGTCATAGATACTGACATTTAATGTTACCTCTCTGATTTGAGCTTCAAACATATGATCCTGTCTGACACACTCTTCTACCTTATTCTACCTTAATGATATTCACATACTCTTAATTCAAGATTGCACCTAATCTGTTTTGCTTCTTGTCTATACCATGGTAGAACAGGTGGAATCCATCTCCAGAGGTCATGGTCTTGCTTCCCTTCCACCTCAAACAGTATCAAACAGTTCGCTCCCTTATACTGCTGCTTAACACAAATTGCACCTCTCTTCTTTCTTGTCTTTGACTGGGTTGTTGTTAACCCAGTCTTCAACTGATGTGATACGAAAATCACAATCTTTAATTGCATGTTTGATTTGACCAAGATTTTACACAGGATGTCCTCTCTTACACAAACCTCGCCATTTATCCATGCTTGGGTCTGTCATGAGGAGTACACTGGCTTGTGCCCCACTGTGGCTGGGTCTTGAATGAGGATTATATGTTGCTCTGAAAACTGTATATATCTTTCCGCAATAGTGGTACCTTTCTTAATGTGGAAGCTGTTGATTCCATACACTAATGCCCCCACTGCCACCAACGATGTAGGGTTTTGATTTAGCAGTCCCAATATTCAGAATTGATTTTCAGCCTTGTGCTTGTGCACACAGATTTCTCCAGATTCTCAAAATCTTTTGATGATATTATGTACTGTAAATAATGAAGTATTCAAAGTATTCTCAAACTTTTATTGATTAATATTTTTCTGAAAGTGTTCAACAGTTTGCTGACTGTTGAACCCATGCCCGTTTTTACTTCTGGGAAACATTGCCTATCTAAGATATTATGTTTTATACCTTTTCATGTTACTGACCCTTTTGCCAGTTGTACTAATTAATTGCAAAACAACCTTTGGGCTGTTGCCTTTTAGGACCACGTATTTTCTAGTCTCTTTGTGTCCCTAATTTTTTTGAGCCGTGTTGCTGCCATTAAATTCAAAATGAGGTAATATTTTTTATAAAACAGTCAAATGTCTCAGACATTTGACTTTTGCGTTTAAATATTCAGTGTCTTATGTTATGAATAAAATATGGGTTTATCAGCTGTGCATATCATTGTATTCTGTTTTCATGTTACATTTTACACTCTCAACTGTACCTTGGCAAGCTACATACAAATAAAGAAAGTGTCCCACATGACTTGTCTATGTTGACTGTAATGCTCAGGTTATGTCAATAAAGGTTCAAAAAGCTGTAAACCATTGCCTCCCTTTCTACATTCTATATCTGGACAAAAGCTTATTTTTAAAATGTGTCTTTTCTGGCCAACTGTGCAACTCTCAGTGTTACGACCAAATTTAACATAGCCAAGGCTATGACATCAACTCACTAAAAACAAACAAACAAAAAAAGGGTCCTCTATAATATCTCACCATTCTTTCCTGAATGGCTCCTGTTGAAGCCACGGTCATTGATAATTGGCACAGTTGTGTTGCAGGTGCCGTGGAAAAGGCGTCTCTCGTTATTCTGATGACCATTTCTCAACTCCAAGTCACGCTTCTTGATCTGTAGACGCTTCCACAATCCAGGGTTCTGGATCCGCTCAATCTGAGAAGAAGAAAAGTGCCTTTTGTGTAGTCTGATATAGTTAACATAATGATGCACGAAAATAGATTTCAAATACAATTAATACATTTTGAGTAAATTTTCAAGTATTCTTTTGTGGACAATTTATTATCCAAAAACTTTTTCTATGGTTAGTCATTTTTAATTAAATCTTTCTCTTTCTTTGGGTTTTCAGTATTTTCACCAGTAAGCATTGCTGAAGGAAATTCAAAAACATTAGACGTTCAGCACTGATTGGAGACAGCAGAACAGTACTGGATTTTTCTTCTACATATTTTTACCTTTGAATTTGGAGGCAATGCCTGCCAAGGTCCCCTTTCGTTTATCCTTAGGCTTGCGATCAGTAGCTGCTCTCTGTTCCAGGCTGCTGTGGAAGTCTTTTAGCATAGCTTTCTGGAAAATAACTATGCGGATTGTGGTCAGGGGACTGGAGGTATTTTGCCTCAACGCATCAATCACTGCATCCAACATGGCATCTGCCACCAGTCTTCCTTGTGCATTACCTTGACCTAAAAAAACCCATAATACTATAATACTATAATAATTTGAAGAATTGATTTGTTAATGGTACATGCTAAATATGTGTAGTCTCAAGGTTTGTCAGTAAGATTTCCAGGGCATCAAAGACTTTCTCTAAGTTGATGCAAGTTACACAGACAGAACTTTAGTAGTTACGTTGTCTGATAATCAGGTGTATTCGCTAGCAAGTTTCATTTCTAAGGATAGACATAAGACTGCGAAAACTACAGAAGTTTTTACAGTAGAAGTTGTTACAGAGTTTATATTAGCTAATCAGTTATCTTACTGAAACATAAATTTCATGTACACTGTTTTTGTTTGTTTTGTTTTTTAATGGAAGTTTCCATAAATGGTAACATTCAATTCATAAATTACAAAATTTAATGTGTGGTTAATAACAATGAAAAAAAAATGAAACACAGAAAAAATGATGGGTTTTGCTTTATTTCCATAGTTTTTTTTTTTTTATTGTGTACCATAACGGATCCCACTGTTAACTGCATGATCCAGATTCAAAAGTTCATCTCTGTCAAAAAATCTTTAGTCATTGTTACAGAAGCGTACCATCTTAGAACCTGCCTTTGGATATTTTACTTATTTTGCCATTGCACACCCTCATGCCCTCTACCTTAAAAGATACAAACAATTTGGTTTGGACTGCAATTTTTGTGAATCCAAGCAGACTGCAAAAAAACTTTATCTGGCCAGGGAAATTTAGACTTTTTTTGTTTCACCGTAAAGCTTAAGAGATGTGTAGCCCTCATTTAGCAAAACAGAGCTTAGATTACGGTATTTTAAAGGCTACAGTATTGTGTGCCTATTAGTGTTTGAGGCATACTGAAGAAGAACAAATATCAAGCAGACTTATATGGAATTTCTGCATAAAAAGGGCTGAAGATCACAGAAATTCACCCACCATGGCTGCAGCACATAGATCATTATCACAGAAGATTATAAATGAAAAGAATACAGAATTTTTAAAAAAGAAATTTTTGCTAACCAAACAATTGCAATGGAATAAAGTAATGTTTAAAATGAGTTGGAAAATTTAACTATTTTAATGAAATAAATGTAATGTTTACCTTAATTTAGAAAGAAGTAGCTTTTACCCATCTTGGATAATGGTGCAATGAAAAATCCCAACAGGAAATGACTCAGGGAGCAAGCTGTGTGTGTCATGTGAGTGAGGTAGAAAGAAGATGACATGGCTGTTTATACTGAGTATATAAAAATCCTGCGCAAAAAGATCTAGCTGTTATTTCCTGCCTGAACCATCTCAACTGTTTCTTTTCAATGTGGAGGAGAACAAACCCTACTCTAAGCCCGACCCAGGTGGCTGAACTCCTCACCCTATCTCTAAGAGAGCTAACAGTCACCATTCAGAGAAAGCTCATTTCTGCCACTTTCATCCGTGATCTTGTTCTTTTGGTCACAACCCTGAGCTTGTGACCATAGGTGACAGTAGGGATGTAGATAGACTGGTAAACACATCACCACCTCTTTTCATCACTACAGCTACAGCCCCAATACATTTGTTGATCTCCCACAGAAATAGAACCACATCATCTACAAAAAGCAGAGACAAGATTCTGAGACCACCCAAATGAAAGCCATCTGCTACTTAGTTACACCTAGAAATTTTGTCCATAAAAATCATTAACAGAATCAACGACAAAGGGCAGCCACATGGTGTAGACCAACATCCACCAGAAGCAAGTATGACGTAAACTCTTACAACGGTTGTATAGGGACCAAATGGCTCATAGTCAGACACCCCATACTTCAGAAGCACCTCCCACAGAATACTCAGAGGGACATGGTCAAAGTCTATTAAACCACATGTACACTGGTTGGATGAAGTCCCATGTACCCTCAAATTTCCTCAAGAGGGTAAAGAAATCATCCAATGTTCTGCAAACGGGACGAAAACCACATTCTATTCTATTCTAATCCAGAGGTACCGCTCCAGATTTCTATTCAACATTGTAGAGGCATGTTGACTAGTGGTGCAACGGATCAAAAATCTCACGGCTCGGATCACAGTTTTAAAGTCACGGATCAGATCAATTTTCGGATCAGCAAAAATAGAAAAAAAAAGACAAAAATTCTACTCGCCGTTTACTTATTTAAGTATTTTTTTGCCTATTAAAAAATATTCAACTGAAAACTCATTCCACGCACTTATATAAAAACAGATTAAGGTGCAATATGGAAATTATGGACCATGCTGGGCAGCCTCTGCATCCTCTTAGACTGTGTGCAAATTTGACATAAAGTTAACTAGTGCAAATTCATGTCCAGTTTTAGAATCACGCATTAATATTTATAGAGCAATTGTTTTAATTGCTATTGTGCAGAGAATTGATTGGTCAGTAGGAGGTGATTTCATGTCTATTGATCCACAATCCAAAACATAACCTGTTTCATAATACACGTTTCTGGTTTGGGCTTGACGTAACTATGGTATGTAGATTTCCCATATCATGAACTTCTAAAATACATGAACAAATCTCACCTGTGCCAATTGCAGGAAATGATACAGAGGTGTAGGAGCTTTTCACACACATCTGAAGTGCATCTTTCACAACCTTGTTGATTTTTACTGGGTCAGAATCTCCAACCACGTGAAGGATCTTCTTACACTTTAGGTTACCTGGCTGAGTCATTATCATGCCTGGATTGGACTTGGCACCTAAATGTGGAGAAAGTGGATCTTTATATATATATATATATATATATATATATATATATATATATATATATATATATATATATATATATATGATAATAATGATGCTTAAATTAGGTGGATTCATCTTTTCTGTAATTTCATACTTAATTTAAAAAGATGCTTAATTCTGCTATGTCCACTGTGCAATAGTGAGGAGAGAATACATATAGCTATAATTATTTTTCAAAACTGTAATATTCCACTTTTTTCTATGATTTACCTGACTTAAAGGAAAAGCTTTCCTTGGAAGAGTTGACAATGATATCTGTTGTCTCCCTGGTTATGTCTCCTGTGACTACCTGTATAGTCACATTTCCCATTTTAGTCTCATGCATATCTGAGGTTGAGGTGAGCTTAGAGAATGGGCCTCCTGCTGTGAACAATTGAATAAACATGAACAACTAAAGCCAACAAATTAAATTAATGGATAAATAAATAAATGCACTTTTCACTTCGAAACACTTCGATTTAATGTTGGTAAAACTATTAGTTAGCTGAGAAGCAAAAAGACTATTCATTATAAGCTTTTTGAAAATATGCAATTTGTGTTAAAAAAATTAAAAACAAACAATGTTATGTGTCTTCAGCTTTTGTAGAACTTGAATCACCTGAGGCATTGGGAAACTTCTTAAATTCATCAGTGAAAGCCTGCAAAAACAAAACAATCTACTTCAACTGAAAAAAAATCACTAATATTTAAACCAAAACAGAAGTTAAACAATGCAATATACCAAGCAGCAACCCGTAGAGTTTAAAAAGAAAGTTCACAAAGAAGAGCCATTCAATTTCCTAAAAGGCCACTTAAGGCCAGCAGTAGAGTTCATTTCCGTGTCGTGAGTCTCTCTCCAAAGACTCTACATCAAAATGCAATTTTGCAATAGATCCAAGCACGTTAATAGCCGGGTTAAAAAATTATCTTAATTGCTATTTATTCAAGGGTTGGGAGTCTTTGATTGGGAATCTACAGCTGGACAAACAAGGGTTCCAAGGGATATTATTGGGTCAGAATTAGCAGAGGTTAAGGAAATGTTAAAACGGCAGCAGGCCCAGATTGATCAGTTTACACATGAGTTGAGAGTTGTCCATACATCAGGTAAGTCTAGGTTCACGCAGAGAGGAAGGCAGGTTATTTGCAGACGGTGTCAGAAACCTGGCCATTTTGCTAAAGACTGTGATGATGAGAGGGTAGTAGCCTTTGAATCTATAGCCCCTAGCAGGAGCTCATCTGGGCAGGGCACGTTTTCCATGCAGGCGGAAAACTAGCACCCTCTGTTATGCTGAGCCACATATCAGATGGGGACATAACTGGCTCCAACAGTTGTAATGCTCAAATGTCAGGTCCCCCACCCAAGTTGGTAGGCTCCTGTCCAAAGGTTATCATTAATATGGGAGGGGTAGATGGCTCCTGTTTATTAGACACTGGATCCATGGTCACTACCATCACGGAGAGTTTTTTTGCCAAACATTTTAAGAAATGGGGTCCAGAGAAACTGAAAGCATGCCATTGGCTGCGGTTACGGGCAGCTAATGGGCTAGATATTCCCTATGTTGGCTACCTGGAGCTTGATTGCCAAGTGTTAGGGAGGCAAATACCGAAACGTGGTGTGTTAGTTGTTAGAGATCCTTTGGAGCCCAGCCCCAACTCAGAAATATGTGGAGTACTCGACATGAATGTGATCCGTGAGTGTTATAGGGAGCTGTTTTTGGAACATGGCTCTGCTCTTTTTGACCTTCCTTTAGTGCAGGAGGATCCTTGGCAGCAGGCTTTGCAGCGTTGCCATACAGCGCAGCTACAGCCCGAAGCACAGGTTAGTGGCCCAGTGAGAGTTAAGGGTAGAAGAAAAATTTGCATCCCCGCAGGCACAATGAAGTTTGTACCAGCTACATGTCGGAAAGCCCCTTCGGCACACACTGCTTTTTGAACCATTAGATGCCGGTTTTCCTCATGGTCTCCTTTCTTCTCCAGCTTTGGTCCAAGTGGTCAGTGGCACTGCATTTATCCCAGTTACCAATGTGGGATTAACTGAGGCCATTTTGCCACCTCGCAGTCAGCTTGGCACCTTGTGCCAAGTTGAAATTGTCAGCCAATCGGATGTCTCGACCAGGCTGTTGGAAGATTTGGGAGAGGAAAAATGTGTTACCATGACAACTCAGAGTGTGCAACCCAACCCTCTGAAAACTGCAATTGATGCAATTGATCTCTCAGCCCTCACTGTACAGGATCAGGGCAGGGTAAGAGCCCTTTTGCGTGACTACCAATCTGTTTTTTTCTTCTCATGATGGTGATTTAGGGTGTACCAATTTAATGACTCATGAGATCCCACTTTTAGATGAGACTCCGGTCCGCCAGCGGTATCGACGGATTCCACATTCAGAGTATGAGAGCGTTAAGGCCCATATTCAACACTTGTTGGAGAGTCAGGTGATCAGAGAAAGTTGTAGCCCTTTTGCATCCCCAATCGTGGTAGTACGAAAGAAGGACTCCAGTATCAGGCTTTGTGTGGATTACCGTCTGCTGAACTCAAGGACTAGGAAGGATGCTTTTCCCTGCCACGAATTGAGGAGTCCTTGGATGCGTTGTCAGGTGCATGTTGGTTCTCTACCTTGGACTTGGCTAGTGGCTACAATCAGGTCCCTGTTGCTGAGCCAGACAAAAAGAAAACTGCTTTCTGCACTCCTTTTGGGTTATTTGAGTTCAACCGCATGCCATTTGGCCTCAGTAATGCACCAAGCACATTTCAAAGATTGATGGAGAGAATGTTTGGTTCCCAGATTCACCAATCATTTTGTTGTATCTGGATGATGTAATTGTCTTTTCTGCCACAGTGGACGAGCATATTCAGCGCCTAGGAGCAGTACTGGAGACCTTGCGGGTACAAAACTTGAAGGCCAAGTTGTAAAAATGCTGTTTTCTGCAGACAGAGGTAAAGTACCTTGGGCATGTGATCTCCAAGGACTGGGTAGCCACGGACCCAGACAAAATATCTGCGGTGTCTAATTGGCAAACTCCTAGCTCTGTTGCTGAATTGAGATCATTCTTAGGGCTTGCTAGTTACTATCGCCGCTTTGTTCCAGGTTTTGCATCCCTAGCTGCTCCGCTCCACCAGCTGGTGGCCGAACTGGCTGGGACTAAGCACAAACGCCCCTCCAAGCGTGCATTGCAGGAAGTTTGGACCGAGCAGTGTGAAAATAGCTTTCAAGAGTTGAAAGCTCGGTTGGTGCATTCCCCCGTATTGGCTTATGCTAATTTTTCACAACCTTTTATCTTGGAGGGTGATGCCAGCCACTGGGGTCTGGGGGCAGTGCTTTCACAACAGCAAGCTGATGGCAAGGTGCGTCCTATAGCTTGTGCTAGTCAGGGGCTAAAGCCCACAGAACGTAACATGTCCAATTACAGCTCCATGAAACTTGAATTCCTAGCCTTGAAATGGGCTATGACTGAAAAATTTAGAGAATATTTGCTGGGTAACAAGTGTGTTGTCTATACAGACAACAAACCCTTGAGCCATCTGACTACAGCAAAGCTTGGAGCTTTGGAACAGCGCTGGGCTGCTCAGCTCTCTTCTTTTGATTTTTCAATTAAGTATCGTCCGGGTCGTACAAATGGCAATGCAGATGCTTTGTCCAGACAGTGTCAGCCATCTGATCAAACTGTGTCTTTAGAAACACTGCTTCCTGGTACTTCCCTTCCAGACTCTTTAGTCCAAGCAGTTTTACCACCAGAGCAAGTAATCCAATCTATGATTTCGGTTTTATCCTCTAATTCACTTGCAGACGTTGCTACTTTGCAGAGGGAGGACCCCACGATTAGTGGCTTTTTGAAGTTTTGGCGCAGAGGAACTGGCCCTACTCGCCAGGAGAGGAGAGATTTGCCAGCAGGAGTGCTGGAACTGTTGCGCCAGTGGAGGAAACTGGTAGAAAAGGAGGGCGTCCTTTATCGGCAGATTTTTCAGCCAGATGGGGGGGAACCAGTGTGCCAATTAGTGGTCCCTCAGAGTCTCAAGAATGAGGTTTTACATGGCTTGCATAATGACCATGGTCACCAGGGAACTGACAGGACTGCAGACTTGATACGCAAGAGGTGTTATTGGCCAGGTATGTTTAAGGAGGTTCAGGATTACTGTCAGCAATGTGAACGTTGTGCGCAGGCTAAAGCAGTTTATCCCAAACCTAAAACAACCATGGGTCACCTCATGGCTGCGAGGCCCAATCAGATTCTGGCAATTGATTTCACATGCCTTGAACCCTCCGTTGATGGCCGTGAAAATGTGTTGATTCTTACTGATGTGTTTTCAAAGTTCACTCAGGCGGGGGGGCGCTAGCGAGCGCAATGGAGTGAACACGTTTACTTCAGAGCCTCTGCACATTCCAGCTTAATTTGCATCAAAAATAGGCACTTAAGTTACCAATCTGCTTTCAAAGACAAGCTTAAACTTTTAAACAAAGTTCCTACGGATTTAAATCCAAGAAAGTCGCTTTTATGGCGGCAAATCTGCGGAAATACAAATACGAGGCTTCGTCGACAGCTAAGACCAGTGCAGCCGCGGGCAAAAGTTGTGACAACACCGCTAGCCAAACACCGAAGTCGGCACCGATAGCTAAAATGGATGTGGCAGACCTCAAGACGAATATTCTTACCTCCTTGCGACAAGATATCGCCGCCGTCATCCAGCAGGAAGTCAGGTCTGCTCTGGCTGACAGCTTTGATTCGTTGAAAAGGGATATCCAAGACGTGAAGGCAGAAATGGTCCAGCTCGGCTCACCTGGTCGAGCCGAGCTGGACCAGGTGAGAGCTAACGTAAAATCTGTCGAAGCGGGTCTGTCGAATTGGTCTAACGAAATGGTGGCCGTACAAGACACGATGGAGTCCCTCACAAAAGAGGTAAAAGTCCTTAAATACAAATGTGAAGACCTCGAGGGACGTATGAGAAGGGGAAACATCC